AATAGGGCAGGCGGATATCCTTCGGAGGCTTGCTCAGCACCATCGGAGGACTGGTGGGGGTCCCCCACAACTGCGATCGCTGCTTTCAGGGGACCCCCGCCAGTCCTCCGATGGTGCTGGGGAAGTCTTCAGAGGCGTGCCCAGCACCATCGGAGGATTGTTAGGGGACTTCTTAAAGCGGCGATCGTGGTTGTGGGAGCCTCTGAAGGCTTCCCCTGCACTATCGGAGGACTGGTGGGGGGGGCCCCCGCAACTGTGATCGCTGATTTCGGAGGTCCCCCGGTAGTCCTCCGATGGTGCTGGGCAAGCCTCTGAAGACTTCCCCAGCACCATTTTTGACTTTCCCGCCCTTTTCCCCTGTCTTTTTCCGTTCGGACGCTTGCCTCCGATGGTGCTTGGCAAGCCTCCGAACGGAAAAAGCTCCCTACCTGGTAAGTGACTTTTTCAGAGTTTTTTGGCCCATAGGAACACATTAATTAAAATTCAGTGCATTCCTATGGGAAAATGTACCTCACAAGACAAAAATATCTTCATCTTGTGGGGCACCTAAAAACTCACAAGACACTTTCATCTATGCTATGACGCTTTCATCTATGCTTCACCTGCTATGATATATATCTTTAAACTTTATAGTGGCATAAACCTGCAATAGGTTTCTGGCCAACAGGTTTTAAACCTGAGATTTTCCTAGTGCCAGATTAGCACTCCAACCATTAAATTCCAAATTAATACGTTTCAGAAAGCAGTACAAGCCTGTTTTGTGCTCATTGTGCAAGAAGAATCAGGTTGCTGCTGCTGCTGTTGCTCGTTCTTCTTATCAATCACAGTTGTTGGAATATGAGAATAATCTAAGTAATCTCTTATTTTGAATCAATAAGCAGCAACCTGGAATAAGTTCATTTGGTCTGCAGAACATAGTGAAGAAGTAAATGGGATCAAAAGTAAGAGTTTTTTTTGGATGGCAATAGAAAGTTCGCCAGAATAATCTGACACCTTCTTGTAATAGTATTAACAGCAAAGGAAGGATACAGAAATTCCTGGGAAGGAGTATAAAGAAAAGGTGCAGTGGGAAAGTCCAGATTAACATGTGGCTAAAGACTGTCCTTGTTCCAGAGAAGGTTACAATGGGAAGAGAACAGGAGCAGAGATACGAAAATGCTAAGAATGCATAGATATTTAAATAGGCCAGTAAGAATGAAAAGGAAGCTAATACATGCCTGTCTAGCTTATAGTGGTAACTTTTGCGGAAAGGGTTATCTGTTGCAAGAATTATGAAGTCTGAGTCTGGACAATTAAAGGCACAGAGAACTAGATAAGAGGATTTCCTAGCAGCACTTGAGTTTGACATGCAGGAATGAAAGGATGGCTGGCATAATAATAGCTCCTTTACCAGTTTATCTGTCATTAAGAAGCTAAACAGCTCTGTGGCTATAGTTAATTTTAAACCAAGGATGCAGCTCAGCACCTTCCAGAGGAAATTCAGATCATTAACACCACAGTAAAACTTTGCAGAAATCTTTACCATGAGACCTGGTCTGCTATGGATGTACCACAGTTACATGTTCCTCTAGAAAAACCAATGTTTAACATAACAAAACAGACAAAATGGGTGTGTATTGTGTTCATCCCTACTGCTCTCAATCTACTACTTTCTGCTTGAATGTTGTTGTATTGGCTTGCCTGCTTCAAAAGCACCTGAGTTATTTGATGTTATTTGCTTTGTTTTTTTAGTTCATACTGGTGATCATGCTTAAATAATAGGAGAGAGCAAAGAACACACCTAACTGATGAATACTGTGACAAAGATAGGTAAGTGATCCAGACATGATAGAATTGTTTCATGATTTGACATATCTTTAACTATGAGATCTTCTGCACGCCCTTACATTCTGTAAGACTCGCTAGGCAGGGTTGAATGGGCTCTGTAGTATCAGAATGACAGGTTTTTAAAAATTGATATACACTATACAAACGTTCCAAACTCACGCGAGTTCTCTTATTTTGCGTAGTTTATCTTGTATTGTTTATCAGATTTCATATTTCTTGCTCACTGTACAATTTTTCTTTGGCTCTTGATGGGCAAGGAGCTACAAAGGACATGGTGGCTTTATATTCTATCCATCCTATTTGTCAACTCCATTTCTGCTGGTATTCTCCATGCACTCTCAAAGATACTTTTCAGAGCCATATGCAGTCATCTGAAGAAGAAAGTGCACCCTCTTTAAATTCTAATTCTACATATCAGGACATAATAAAAATTATTACCTCAGACGAACTACAACATATGACATATTACACTATGTCATGATTTATTTAAAAAAAAAAACACAAATAAAGCCAAATTGGAGAAAGCTGATACATATGGACTGATTAGAGAGAAACTTGCCTGGCTTTGATGTGGTTACACTCCCCTGAAGGATCGGGTCCCCAGCTTGGGGGTTCTCCTGGACCCAGAACTCTCTATGGAGGGTCAAATATTGGCTGTGTCCAGGAGTGCCTTTTATCAACTCTGCTTGATTGTTCAGTTGCACCTCTGCCTGGATAAGAAATAGCTGTTAAAGGTGTTTCACGCATTGGTAAAACAGACAATGGTAATGCTCTTTATGTAAGGCTGTCTTTGAAAACAGAACAGACACTTCAGCAGATGATGCAGCGACCGATTGATTTCTGGGATTAGTAAATCTGATCATATACTCCCAGTCTTGGCATGCCTTCATTGGCTTGCTATCACCTTCCATGCTCAATTGAAAATGCTGGTTATAATCTATAAAGCCCTTAACCGTTTAGGACCTCAATACTTGTTGGCACATCTCTCCCAGAAATCAGCTACCCATTTCACCCACTCCTCTCAATCCATGCTGCAAAAATTGGCCACATTAAGGGAGGCCAGAAAAGTGAAGACAAGGAATCATGTTTTTTTCGGTGGTGGCCCCTAATATCTGGAATAGGTTACTAGCAGAGATACGACAGGCTTTTTTCCTTCTTATTTTCATGGAATTGTTGAAAACAGAACTGTTCAAAGCAACCTTCAACAACTGAGTATCCTCGATGCTATTAAACTTAATATTTTCTTTTTCTCTGTTTTTTGTATGTTTTTAAATCACCATATAGCTGCATGTATTGTTATGTGGAACCTGTGGGATTTTTAAGTTTAAACTGTCCAGAGTTGTGTGTTCCACTAATGGGACATTGTATAAATAAAATAAAATATTAAAAAGAGGACATGGATTTATCTCAAGTGCTGAATTATACAAAGAGATTCAAATTTGGAAATAACTATCATTTAAATAGAAATAAAGCACATTCTGTCATGGTGCAGAGGACTGTGACCTGGTGACCTGCCAGCCAGCTCAGTCTGTTAGCCAAATGGGCATCTTCAAGTGGGCATCTCCAAGCCCCCTTGTTCTCCTTTGTTAGGGGGACTTTAGCTCTTCAAATGGAGGGCTACCTTCTGTAAAGCAGGAGACTTCACCACCTTATAGCCGGTCTAAAATAAGACAGTTTTTCACTTTTATAACTTCGTTTTGTGACCCGTCATAGACAATTTATTCAGATATCCTCTGTGAATTTTGTGATATTTTTCGGCAAATGCCATTGACTGTAATGAGTTGTTTTCAATGTTTGTTTCAATGTTGTTGTTTTTGTTTGTTGCTGTTGTTTCTTACTAAAATTTAATATTTCAAGCTTTCAAATATTTGAAAGGTTTTCAAATATTTCAATCCTATTCATTTTTCTTAAAAAGTCATGCAGTCTTTGATTCCCCCAAACTGCCCTCACTCCTTTACATGGCAGAGTACAGGTATTTACAGCTGCTACAGTGCCCACCTGTGCTTGATGTGTATTCAAATCCCCACATAGTTGGCAGGATAAAACAAGCAGTTTGGGAGTGAAAGAGCTGTAGGGTCATCTGCCTGGCTTTCTGTTTTTTGTAATCCCCGTATTAGAGAAAGGCGCCAAATAGTGCTTGATGTGTATTCAAATCCCCACATACTTGGCAGGATAAAACAAGCAGTTTGGGAATGAAAGAGCTGTAGAGTCATCTGTCTGGCTTTCTGTTTTTTGTAATCCCCGTATTAGAGAAAGGCGCCAAATACTTTCTCCCTTGTCTTCATTCTCAGCTTCCTTACAGCTGTGGAGAAAGCTGCCTTCAACAATTGAGTTTCCCATATGTTGTTAATATTGCTATTTAATTTTTCTTTTTTGGGGTGTGTGTGTTCTTTTTTCTTTTTTATATGGCTTTTTATTTTATCACCACATTATTAGATGTGTTGCTATATGGGGTCTGTAGGATGCCCAAACCTATTTGTTCACTGTCATCCATCAAAAGAATGCCAATGAAAGCGACTATCCATGATAAAATCAAATAAAAGAAATGAAACTAAAATATAAAATAGACTGAAAAGACACTGCAAACACATCTGAAACAGAAAGAACAGTATCCACTTGGTTAATGTCCCCTTCAACAACAATTTGAAAGGCTTCTTCCATTATGCTGGGATGCATCATTAAAACACTTTCTCTGTTTGTTTGCTTTCAACCAAATAAACATCTTGTAGCTTTACCGCAGTCTGACACAGTGTATTCTGGTTCAGTGTTAAATGTTTAAAGTGTTGGACAGTCAGCTAACTGAAAGCCAAGGAAGTATAATCCAAGCCCTGACTGAAATTGACAGGGACAGGTTGTCTCTGCAAAATAATCTCCTTAAATAGCAGCAGCCAATACTCAAAGTCATTTCTTTGTCCCATCTTGAGTGGGAGGACAGTCTGCAGCAGCCTGTTCGCCAGGCACGCTTCCTGTAGTTCGCTGCCCTTCTTGGTAGTCTTTGAAAAGGCAAATTTTGACCACTTCCTGAGAACCTCACCATTTCAATAACCACAAAGGAACTGCTATGAATTTTGTTGCACAGTTACTCTACTCGAGGGCTTTAAAGAATCGAACTCCCAGGGAACGCATCAAAGAAGAGGAAGAATATGACCCTTTCTGGCAAAGGTTGGAGAATACTGCCATGTGACGTAGACCTAGAGTGTTGGTTTCTCTCCCTTAGGATTTATGGACAGTCCTAGGTTTGTACCTGGGGCCACGCCACTGGCCATCTCCTCCCCTGGATCCTTCCTGCCTCCTTATGGTGCAGTAGTTGGAGTATTGCTTCACTTCTTTGTTTATTTCATTGCCATACTTTATAGGTAATAATAATATTAATGATGATGATGTTCTAGGTTTTCTGTGCTTCCTGGGAAATTACTATCAGCATGTTTAATTTCAGAGCTTGGATAATTTATTCCTCCTTGGAAAGATTGTTAGAATTCAAAACACTTTGTCAGAAATTAAGTTTGCTTCTGTCTTGCTGTTGATCAGAATGTGTGGATTTGCTTGAAGTCTCTGAGATTTGGGGCATCTTCTGTAGTGCTATAAGGGCCTTGTTGAAAGAGTCCAGCAAAATACTGGAAAATGTTAATTATCTCACTGGTCACCATCCATCTTATGTGTCTTCCTTGAAAGGATTGTCACAAACACATGCAAGTATATTTTGACTGGTGATTATGAACACTGCTTAAAGCTAATTGTATTATACAAGTGTCCAGAGTGAGCAGCTGAGATTAACAAGCTTTGCGGATGGTTCAAGATATTTCCTTGTCTCCCAGATCTTGATTCTATAAATCCCAGCCCGTTAAAAAAAAACAAACAAACACTAGTTCAACATGTAATAATTTGAAGTATTGGGGTCTTGTATCCCAACCGTCCCAACAGCTAAAAGTACTGTAAAAAGGGACACCCATAAGAGTGCTTCTGCTTATTATTATTATTAAATGATGTTGCCACTGGTAAGGTGTGGCTTTTCCACATTACTTGGAAGTGCAGTTAAAACTGAGAATTTGCACAGTACTTAACATAGCCTTGTATGAAATAACAATGCTCTAATGCCAAGATACTTCTACAGTGACTACCTGCCATTGAATGGATTTAGCAAAAGGCCCTGACAATTTCATTTGTAGTTTATAGCTTGCACATTTAAGTAGTTTTGCTATCTCCAGTTAGAGTTAAATATAACGACACCCTGTTCTTCTGCTAGTAGAGAATACAGAACATTTTATATCCACGATTAGCCCAAAAAGTGTTAATAGTACTGGTGACGGCAAATCCATTGACTGCCCTTTGATCCATCCCTATTGCGTTGGAGTTCATTTGGCAGCTCAGTGCTGTTGTGATTATTCTGATGAAGTAGTAATTTCCCTGTGGAAATAGGGGCAACTAAAAAGGGAGCAATCAGAACTGTCCCTCAGCGATCACTCAGGTGCTATTAACAGGATTCATTTAACCTTGGCATAGATCTTTCCTTGAATGAGATGTACCCAGGATGGCAAATGAAGTGTGTTGTGTGGCCTCCATTTTTATTACATGTCTAGTTAATAATTGAAAAAAGCAGTAAAATGAAAGCGGGGTCGAATGGAAGAAACACCGTCACACCAAAAGGGGCACTGCTGTGTCTCCTTGGGGGCCAGAGAGCTGACTTGCAATATACTTAGTCCTGGAAGGGCAAACCTTTCCATTTCCTTGTTCTAACTTACTTGTTTCTATTATGTTTGGAATGTTCCCACATTGTTTTCCTGTGTTTTTTCCCCCAGCTATGCAAAGAAACTATTTGCAAAAAAGTAGGTAAAAAAAATCACATTGCATGCATGCCTTACTAATTTCACTAAACCTGAATGTGTAGCCAGGTGCACAGATCCCAAATATATATTTCATATCTTTGTGTTTCCTATGCAAAAACTGGCAAGTTGTGCGGAAACACCAGCACCTATGATTGTATATAGAAAACAACTCAGGTTGCAGTTCTGTACATCATACTCTACAAATAATTTCCAAAGACCACATTTGGATTCAGATTCACTGCAGGCATAGAACTGAACTATTAGTCTTTATTTTATATGGCAGTATTTTTTCAGTAGGTCCAGTGGTGTATAGTGAATAGAGGATAGAGTAGGATTCAAATTCCCACTTGGCCATGGGAATCCCTGATGTGTGGGTGGGTGTGGTGATGCTAAAAACACCCTTCAGATATCTGACATACATTGAAACCCTTGTTGGGTGCAACTTGATGGCATGTCACACCCACATACTCACCCAGTATTGTTGCATAAGATGATAACAATGACCATCTCATAAATCTCATCTTTTTAGTTACTTTCTATGGTGGCATTAAATGCCTAGCTTTCTAAATGTTTTCCATATCAGTCCATCTAAGAGAAAAGCTTCTAACATACTGCCACTGGTCTGTTTTGCTGCTTTTTATTAGGTTCAAAGGTACAGAGGGTGACCTCCCGAGGAAGTGCAGTAAGCAGGACTCAGAAGGTGTTGTTTAAGAGTCCAGTGGTGCAGTCTCTGGTTATAATGGGTGTGGTTTTCACTTCTAGCCAGAATAGGATGGCAGCTTATATGTTCCCCCAGAAAGAGGATCTATGTCACCAAAAAGGAGGGCGCAAGGACAATGATTTGCATAAATGCACAAATGCTGATTTAGACATACAGGCGCCACTTTAGAAATTGTTTTTGCAGTTTAGACAAAATTGCAATACTTCTCCCTCAAGTTAGGAAAACTGTGACCAATGGTGCCTGCTAAGCCAGATGCTCCTCCTGGATGGGCAGTCTCCATAGTTGCTGATCGGTTGCTGATATATTTTAAACATTACTCAGAAGTTCTGCTTCTTTATCTTTAATTTAGATTCAAATGAAGGACGCCTCCAAAAGGAGGAATACCGTTTGGCAGCCCTTCAAATAGAAAACAGTCTTTTGTAAAACTGGATGTTATCACCCACCTAAGTCAGACTACTTGAACTGATATGTACACTGGATGCAACACAGCTACTGCTGTTTCTTAAATGTCTTGGCCTTTTGGTTCCATTGAGTGCTATATTAATATAACTATGTGTGTTTATTCTGGAGGCTTAAAAGTTGTAGAAATAGATGATGATGAATGACAGCTTTGCAACTTGGCATGAAGTCCGCTGGATTGTGCTGGCCTGCCTACCTTCTATTACTAGAATGTCCATGCAGTGGGGAGTTGACCGATAAAATCAAGCCTTGCTATACCCTTCTCCATTCAACAACACTGAGGTTGGAGCTGCTGGACTCTTGTGTAGTTTAGAATCTGCATATGACTCTTATCCCTCCTCCATGTAACTACAAGTATAAACAGTTGATGAAGGTATGCATAGACACATACAGAACAGATGAGGAAAGAAAAACCTCCCTCCTCCTCCCTCCCAATGGGGCAGTGTGCTTTTGTGACCTCCCCCAACCCACATTAGCCTCCTGGCATACTGCAACACCCTCCCCCAGCTACCACAGAGAGCTGCCATGCCACGAGAGAGGGCATGCCAGGCTTCCACCATCAGACTGGGGGCTGCCACACTGCCAACAAAAGGGACCTCGGTCAATTTAAGATCCATCTTTCTCAGGCCATTTATGTATTGGGGGAAAAATCTGCATACAGTGGTGCCTCGCATAACGAGCGCACCGTTTAACGATGAATTCGCATAGCGATCCGGTTTTTGGGATCGCTAATGCGATCGCATACCGATGCTTTCTATGGCCGAAAATCACTTTCGCTTACCGATTTTCGCATAGCAATTTTTAAAAACAGCTGATTGGCAGTTCCAAAATGGCCGCTGGACGCCCAAAATGGCCACATGCAGCGTTTTCACGCCCTGCCCTCACTTACCGAGGGCGCGAAAATGGCAGCTGGATGGGGAAACATCACAGAACGTTTTGGGCCCCATTGGAATGCATTAAACAAAGTTTAATACATTCCAATGGGTTTTTCCGTTCTGTATAGCGATGTATCCCCATAGCGACGGTTAATCCAGAACGGATTAACCTCGCTATGCGGGACACCACTGTATAATCTATTTAGGGAATGCTACTGTTCTCTAGCTTGGTGTCTCTGCTTGTGTGTGTCTTAACAAAACTGTAAGTTGTTCAAGGCATAGGTTTCAACTTCTGTGGCTCAGCACCTTTTTTCTAATTTGCTTACTGCAATTGTTTATATTCTTGTCTTTAAGATAATACAAATGTTTCCAAGGATGCTGACACAGCAAATCAAATTAGATGATGAGATTTACGGTGAAACAATATCAAAATATAACAACTCACTGAGTTGTTTCCCACAGTGCAGGTGGCTAGTCCAGATGGAAGGGGCACCAAGGCCATCTGTGGTTGCTTAAGTCTCCCTCACTCTCCTGATCCTTCTCACAACATAGCTAGTAGTCTACTGCAAGGCAAGTGTCTGTAGGCAGACTGTGAACTTGTCTGAGTGGACAGCTCTCCCTTCTGTTGAGATCATTAAGTAGAGTGTTGGAGATCCTCTGGATTTCCTTTATGAAGTGGGGTGTAGTAGTGGATTACAAGCCCCTCCAAATGTATTATTCTATGTATTGACTGAAACTGGCCTTTACTACTTGAAAAACAAAAAGCCTACTACTGAGCTACCATGAACCTACCAGTCTGAATTTACTCTTCATGCTGTTCTAAATAAACATTTCCGGTGGTTTATTAAAGATTAGATATTCATGCAGTGAAAAAGTAATTTCCTTTTTTTTTTCAGACTTGCCTGCAATTAATCAGACATCTAGAATTTTACTTTTAGGAAAAATGAACCAGTCTTGCTACATTTCAGTTATGACTTGTTACATCCCCCCTTGAGGCATTTCATATATTAGAAGAACATTTGAAAA